CTAAGGAACCCTAAATAAGGAACGAGACCCCTTCTTCCCAGAAGTTCAACCTCGATTTCCCATGGAAAACCTTAGGAGAACCCGAAGCAAACTTTGAAACAATCAAGGAACACCGAGCCCTTCCCCAACGAAACGGGTTCCTTCTGCAGCGCCCCGACTGTACTGTTAGAAACTCACGCCCAGAGCCAGACATTTGAGTGCCTCCGAGGCCGGAACTCATGCATAATCACTCGCCGCCTGGGGAACTGTCCAAGGACCCCAGGCGGCAGTGGATTCAGTGCGGGCGCGGCCGCAAGAAACCCTCGCAAGAAGACCCAACCCTGAGAACCCGCGCGCGAGGTGCGCCTGAGGGGACACCTGGAGCACCCTGAACGCAGCAGCTCCTTCCAGCGGGCCGCGGGAAGGCACCGCGCAGCGCGAGGAGCGAAGAAACCCGGGGCACCCCGACGAAAAGCAGATGGCTTCTTGGTGCGCGCCCCCACTGCATGGACATCTTCGCCCCCCCCCTTCCAGGGCCCGAGCGCACGGGGGTCCCACAGGACGTCGGGTGCCCCGGGCGGCGGCAGTGCGCGTCCGCAAGGGCTGATTCGCCTCGGCACTCCGTGCGCGCGCGGGCGGGGCCGTGGTCGCGTCGCGGTGGCCACTCGGCGGGGCGCTGCCGCCGGAGGCCGTCCCCGTGCTCGTCCCCGGCCCCCCCGAGGGCGCTGCTCAGGGGGGGAGAAGCGATCAGCTGTCTTCGTCGGCGGCGAGGCAGAGGCAGTCCGCTCCGGCGCGTGGCTACAGGTGGGCGCGCGGCCGCACGAGGCCGTCGCAAGAAACCCAACCCTGAAAGTCCACAAAGTCTCTTGCCCAGGGTCTGGGTTTCTTGGCCACGGGCTTGAAACGGAGAAACCCAGGGAACCCTGGCCCAGTGGCGGGGCAACCGAAAGGCGAATTGACCAGCGTGCAAGAGGGAGGGACAAAGACGAAGGCGGCCGCGCGAGGGGAGGTGGAGGCGATAAACGTGGGAGCGAAGCCACGTGCACCCTTTTTGCCCGTCTTTAAAGCCCCAGGGGGCTTGCTTAGGACCCCTGAGGTGGACAGAAGGTGCACCTGTCTTCATCCCCCCCACCCACGTGTCGCTTCCCAGTTCTGAAGGGGCCTTGGGACACGCAAGCAAGTGGATACAGATCCCAGGAATCCCCATATCTTTTAGTATTGTCTGGAATTTCGTCATCCCCTCCATTTCCTGCATGTTCCAGTGTGCTCCTGGGAACCGACGATTGCTCGTGCCTTTTTTTCCCTGTCGTGAAGTGAGGGAACGCCCGAGGCGAGGGCCAGGTGGCTCCACCTCCGCTGTCCGCGCGGCACGGGCGGATCTGTTGCGGCGGCTGAGGCGTGTCCCTGGAGGATGAGTTGAGCAGGGACCGACCGCCCCGACATTTCTACAGGCCCACCGCACGAAATATTCCCAGAGCCCGAACATGTTCCCGTAACAGAAACCATGTTCTTATAACATAAGCCCGATGCTATAAAACAAGACAGTCCCAGCCATAACTGTTCTAAGAACATTTCGTCGAAACCACAAAAGGGTTCTTATAACATTGTTTGGTAGGCCTATAGGAGAGCCGGGACGCTTCGCCACTACTTGAAGGATGAGGGGCCACACCGTCCTGTCCGCCCGCCCAGCTGTCTGCATCGCGCAAGCACTGCGAAAAAATACACACAGGGGCCCTCCGAGGAACTGTGCCCCTGCGCCTTCGGCGCGAGCGGCGGCGTGTAAAAGCCGCTGGCCCCCAAGTGGTGACGTACCTGCCCCCCCCCCATTTGAGGCCCAAGAACAATCCATTGGATGGGCGTCTGTGTATACATATTTATATATATATGTATATATATATATATATATATATATATATACTAGAACCATCGCGCGCGCTTCGCGCGCGCTCAAGTTCTAGCCCAGGCCGGGGGGGGCGCTGGAAGATCTTGGACAGCGCTATCAAGCACAGGCGCGTGACATAGTCGTGCCTCCTGGGGGCCTCTTGGGGACCTCTTGGGTCTTCGTGGGGGCATCTGAAGGGCTTCTGGGGGGTTTTCCGTGCTTCCTCAATTTGCTGTTGGAGGCATCTCGTGGGTGCTTCTTGGGGGAGCGTCTCTGGGTTTCTTGGGGTCCCTTCTTGGGAGCATCGTCGGGAATCTCCGGGCAGTCGGAAGGTGATGTTCTGCAATCTGAAGCCGTCATTGGCCGTCTTGGCTGCGTGGAGGCCCGACTTGAGGGCGCCTGGGGCCACGCTGAAGCAATCCGGAAGCCTCCCGGGGGCCTCCTGCAGACAGTTTTGATGCATCGAGGGCGCTGCTGGGCAATCTTGGGGCCCCTTGTACGTCTCCTTGGGGCCTCTTGGAAGGCTTCTTGGGGCCTCGTCGGACCACTTGGGGACTTTTGGGGCCTTCTCTAGGCTTTTAGGGCGGAAGCCTCTGCTGTTGGGTTCGCGTTCACATTCTTGGGCCTCTCTTGGGACCGTTTTGGGGCCCTCTCTATCTGTCTGTATTGGGGCCTCGTGGGCCGTCTTGGGGCCCTCTTGGAAGCCTCTTCGGCTATCGTGGAACGGTCTTGGGGCCTCTTGGGCCGTCTTGGAGCGTCGGGATGTCAAAAGGCTGAAACGCTAAAGTGCATCAAAAACCAAAAGGAAAATCCGTGATCTTGGCTTCTTGGGGCCCTTTTGGGGGTGCGGGCCATCCGGAGGCCATCTTGGGCGTGTTAGAACGTTAACTCCAGGATGGTAGGCCTCCTGGGGGTCTCTCTCATAGTATGCCTCCTGGAGGCCTTTCGCGGCCCTTTTCATCTGTGTTGAAGCTGTCTTGAGCGGTCCGGAAGCGTCCATGGCGCCCCGACACCCCCATGGCGCGTCGGCCCCCCCCCGCCTCGGTGCGAGATCGAACACTGGAAGGTGAGGCGGCAACGTGCTCCGGCAGCGCGTTTCTGGAGCATGTTTGGGGGACCTGGGTAGGCAGTTCTGAAGCCTCTCGGAGGCCGTTTTGGAGCCTCTGGTGGGCCGCCCAGGGCACTCTTGGAAGCCTCTTCGGCTATCTTGGAGCTGTCTTGGAGGCCTCTTCCTCCTCCTCGTCCCCCTCCTCCTCCTCCTCCTCCTCCTCCTCCTCCTCCTCCTCCTCCTCCTCCTCCTCCCACTCCAGCTCTCTCTCCTCCTGACCTTCCTCCTCTTCCTGCAGCGTGTTCTGGAAGGCTCCCGCCGGAACATGCTGTGCACAAGTGCTGTCACTGCTCCCGCCACCGTGCCCTGGGTGGTGGGTCAATGGCCTCATGGGTGTTGGTTTGGATCTCGTGGTTGGCCTGTCGGGGACGTCGCGAAGGCAGTTTCACAACTTCCTGGCAGCCGTTTTGGGACCGTTGTGGGGCCTCCTCGGAGCTGTTTTGTGGCCTCTGTAGGCCTCGTGTGGGCCTCCTGGGTGCCTCTTGGGGGCCTCCTGGGGCCTCTGGGGGCACTCTTCAAGCGGGAGTCGTGGTCCCCCTCTTGGGCGCATCTTGGATCCGTCTTGGGGCTCTGTTGGCCTGTCTTGGGCGACTCTGGGGCCGTCTTGGGGCCCTCTTGGGCCGTCTTGGGGCGCTCTCGGGGGCCTATTGAGCCGTCTTGGAACGTCGGACAGCCGAAAAGGCTGGAAGGCCAAAATCGTTCGAAAACCTTAATAAAATTGACGATTTCGGCCTCTTGAAGCGCTCTGGAGAGGCGTCTTGAAGCGTCGTGGAGGCCTCGTGTGGGCCTCCTGGGTGCATCTTGGGGGCCTCCTGGGCCTCTAGGGGCGCTCTTCAAGCGGGAGGGTCGAATTTGGGAGTCGTGGTCCCCCTCTTGGGCGCATCTTGGGGCCGTCTTGGGGCTCTGTTGGCCTGTCTTGGGCGACTCTGGGGCCGTCTTGAGGCCCTCTTGGGCCGTCTTGGGGCGCTCTTGGGGGCCTATTGAGCCGTCTTGGAACGTCGGACAGCCGAAAAGGCTGGAAGGCCAAAATCGTTCGAAAACCTTAGTACAATTGACGATTTCGGCCTCTTGAAGCGCTCTGGAGAAGCGTCTTAAAGCGTCGTGGAGTGCCTTGTGGAGCCTCTCAGGCCGTCTTGGGCCTATCTTGGGTGTCCTGGAGCGGTCTTTCGGCGACTCGGGGCCCGCTTGGGCCGTCTTGGAGCGTATGGAAGCCCTCCTGGACTATTTTGGACCTCCCTGGCCGCCCCGTCCTCCCACGGGGGGTCGGAGGCGGCGGCCTCGGAGGCCCAGGACGCGGAAACCCTGTAAAAACACAGGGAAAGTGAGCCCCGTGGCCCCCATGGGGGTCGGAGGCACCAATCTGGCGGCCCCACGCCCCGTTCCCCGGTATATATATATATATATATATATATATATATATATATATATATATACACACAAGACTTGAAGCTCGCTGCGCTTCGCTTTACAGTGTTGGTGCAGTGCACGGTGGGGGCGACGCGTGGGCCGAAGGCAGTCTTTGTGCTGGAGCACGAAGCGTGGACTGGGCCAAGGAACTGGACGGAAACCGCAAGACACGCCGGCAAGTGGACGACGGGCGCGCGCGTGCGAGGGTACATGGGGGACTGGTGCCCACAACTTGCGGCAGGGCGAATTCGCCCGGAAGCTGTCCTAGTTTTCTTATGGTATTTTGGTGAAGCGTTTCCGTACCTGCCGCTTCAGGGCGCCGCGATTGCCTCTGAAGGTGTCCGGGGGGATTCTAGGGAAATGCGCGTGCGAGAGATGAAGAAGCAAGTCGGTGAGGGTCGTTTCTCTGTCCACTGGCTCACAGAAAGTGGCCGTGACGGCACGGGCAAGCGAGCGCGGCGCGGGCTCGCCGAACAAGCTATCCTACTGGCGGGGGGGGAGGGGGGATTGGTTGCCGGACGATTAACGCACCGGCAAGAGTTCCAGGAACATGTAAGGCTACCAAGGGCCACCGGATGCGTGCGGAAGCGGTGTGCTTCACACCGCACGTCGGTTCTTTGCCACCTTGGCGGGCTTCTTCGCGACGGCACCGCCGACGACGGCCACCGCCGGGCGCTTCTGGACGGTCGTGAGGGCGGCCGGCGACTTCGCGGTCAGGGCATACGGGGCGGTGTGCACCATGGCCGTGTTCGGCTCGCACGTGGACCACGTGATGAACTGCGGGTGCTCCTTTTGCAGGTTACGCAGCGGCGCGAGGATCTTCTCGGGGATGTTCTTGGCGACGACGAAGCAGAAGTTGTGCAACCCTTTCACTGCGAGGTCGGTGCCGTCGGGCATCTTGAAGGACTGGGTGAGCTGCACGCGGTTCTGGTTGCGGATGCTGGAGACTTTGAAACCGTTGTACTTCTCCGTCGGTGGCACGGCGAAACCGGCTTCGATGTAGCTGTGCACGAGTAGGTCTGCGGTGGTCTGCAGCACGTGTTTCTGCGCGTTGGCCGCGGCGCGGGCGGACTGGCCGAATGCCGCGTGCACGTGGGCCCAGCTCGGATTTGGGCTGCCCTGGCTGAAAGGCTGAAAGCCCTGGTGAAGCCACACTGCGCGGTCTGGACGCCAGGGGTGGCCTCGTTCAAGCCGTGGACGGCGACGGCGTCTCTCCACAGCGTGCTGAGGCCGTGGGTCCTGTGCTCTTCGCGGAAACGCAGGCTCGCACCATCGGCGATGGTGACGCGGACCCCGTTGGTTTGCATCTTGCTGATGTCAAAGAACTCAATGTGGATGTGTTCCGTGTTCCGTGTAGAGCGACACGTACTCGAGGCTCTTCCCTGGGTCTGCCGCTTTCGAGGTGGCTCCGGTCTGCCGAGAAGCAATGTGATTCCCCAACCGCTTCACAATATGTTTGTCGCCTCCGTGGTTGCCAGCGGTCGTGAGACGCTCTTGTGGGTCGCGGATCAAATGCCGCAGGGGGACCTGGTCGGCCAGGGAGAACACGCGCCGGAAGATGGTGCCATGGATGCGTGTATTGCAGGCCGGCGCACGTCTCCGAAGCGGAGTTCTTTTTCGCTGGCGCTGCATCGGATCTCATGCTGCACAAGGGCGGCAAGGCTGTTGTACCGTCTTGGTTGGGCCGCTAGTCGGCGGTCGAATCGCGCACTCGGACACCAGTGTCGTCAGTAAGCGGCCAGTGAGAAGCGAAGAGGTTGCACAAGGGCTTGTCGGGGAGGCGAAAATACGGAGGGGAGTCTACGAGATATTTACCACCGTTGCAGCAGAAAGTGCGGGATTCGGAAGCGAACAACATGGCGCCGCAGTGCTCGCATGGATGTATCATCTGCCCCAACGCAATGCATGTCGTCGTTCTGGAAGCTCCGCTCCGTGCAGGGGCGTCAAGAATACAGACCAAGCATGTGCGGGTGGTGCGTCGCCAATCGTCTTTGGGGTATTCGTCTTGCGGGCGGTGTTTGCCGCATTTGGTTCATGGTCGAAGGAGTGCCGGGGCATTGTCTGTTGAGCAGCGTTCGGTGCAACGGGCTTGGTCGATTCCCGAATGCAGTTGGCTAGAAGAGAAAGAAGAGCGCGGCAAGCATCTGCCGCAGCCCCTGCAAGTCAGAAGTGCCACAGGGGCATTGTCAGTAGAGCAGCACTCGGTGCAACGAGCTTGATCTTTTCGCACATGCAGTTGGCTCGCCGAGAAAGCTGAGCGAGGCAAGCATTTGCCCGCATTCCCTGCAAGTCAAAGTGATTCGCATAGGGGGCATGAGGCAGGCGTCCATATCAGAGAGTTTGAGCCAGGATGGCGGACGTGCGAGTAAAGAAGATGATGGGATTCGGGAGGGAGCGAATGGCCGGGGTTAGCGCGGACCGACCCGCAGGCTGCAGCCAATTTTCCACTCCCAAGACAACATATTGCTGAGCGCCCGAATGAGGTTAGGAAGAAGGGTGGAGGAGGCGGAAGGCATTGTCGGTGGAGCTTTCGTGGTATCTTGAGGTAGTCTACGGGTTAGTGGGCCCCCTGGTTTGGACACCGTTTTGGGGCAAGTGGACACATCTGCAACGCCTTTGGGCCATATTGGGGCCGTATTTGGCCGTGTTGGGTCCATGTTGGGCCGTCTTGAAAGCATGTTGGGGTGGTGGTCGGTAGCTCTGAGGCCTTTTGGGAGCTCGGAGGGCGTATGAGATTGTGTGGTCCTTCTGGGAGGTCCTGGAGGCCTCCTGGAGGGTTCGGAGGCATGATGGGAGCCGCACCACCCAAGAGAGTGCCCTCCGCCCCTTCGTGGGTTCTCTCGGGTCTCCGGGGACACCCTTTGGGCGTGCTTAGGGCCACTTGTGCCGGTCTTGGACGCTCAGGGACCGTCTTGGGGCCCTCTCGGGCCGTCGTGGGGCCCTCTTGACCCGTCTTGGGGCCTTCCGTGGCCGGCTTGGACGTTGGGAAGATCCACGGAAGCGAACGTGCTAAAAGTATACGTTTCCACAGGGAATGGGACAACTTTGGCCTCCTGGGGCCTCCTTGGGGGGCCTGTTGGAGCTGTCTGGAGGCGTCTTGGGGTCCTTCGGCCTGTGTGAGGCCACCATGGGGCCTTTCGGAGCGCTCCTGGAGCCCGCCGGGGGTGACCTGGGAGCCTCTTGTGCAGTCTCTTGAACTCCCTTTGGGCAATCTTGGGGCCTCTTGGGCCGTCTTGGACGCCCCTTGGACCGTCTTGGGGCTCTCTCGGGCCGTCTTGTGGCTCTCTGGAACCGTCTTGGGGCCTTCTTGGGCCGTCTCGGACGTTGGGAGGATCCACGGAAGCGAACATGGTACAAATGTACGTTTTCCAAAAAGGAATGAAACGATTTTGGCCTCCCGGGGCCTTCTTGGGGGGCCTCTTAGACAATCTGGCAGCCTCCTCGGGAAGTCCGGAAAGCTCGAAAAGTGCCCACGAAGGGGTGGCCAGAGCCGTCCTAATTCTATTGGGGGGGTGGTGGTGGGGGGGACCATCCTTGGTGTCAGATAATATAGATCGGAATACATATATACATATATTTATATTTGTTTATATATATATACACCATAACTATATGTATATATATATATAGATATATGCACATATATATGTATGGTGTGTATATATATATATATACATATATATATGTATATATATAATAATATATATATATATATTATATATTCCTCTTCCTATATTTGTTATAAGCCCGGGCGGGGGAAAACCCGTCACCCCCCCCCCCAAAAAAAAAAACGGGCTCCCGGGATCTGGGGCTTTGGAACCCTCCGGACGGGCCTCGAAGCGGCCCCCCGGGCCTCGCAGGGCGTTTTGACAAGCCTTCGCAGCACACCTGGGGCGATCAGGGGGGTCATCGGAGACGTCCCAGAGACCCCAAGACAGCACAAGAGCGCTCCAAGAGTGACCGACGTGACCTCAAGATGGCCCAAGAGGCCTCCAAGACGGCCCCAAAGAGGCCTCCAAGAGCACTCCCAAGAAGGCCCCAAGAGGCAAAAATCATTAATTTTCTGTTGTTTTTTGGTGAATTTTGGGGTTCTCCTCTTTTCGGCTTCCCGACGCTCCAAGATGGCGGTCTTCTGGGCGTCCGAAGCCGCCTGGGGGGCTCCAAAATCGCCCCACAAACATCCGAAAGGGCTTCTAGGCAATCCAAGAGAGCCCCAAAACGGCACAACACGGGTCCAAGATGGTCCTCAGAGAGCCCCATGGCGGCTCAAGATGGCCCCAAAACACCCTCCGAAGTATTCCAAATCGTGACCCGGTCGTTCAGGGAGACCGCGGTTGGAGGCAGGGTGGCCCGAGGAAGCCCCCAGAGGTCCCCAGAATACACCCCCAGGAGGCCTCCTGAGAGCATTAAGAAAGCCTGGAACAACTTTTCTGAGGCCCCCAGAGGCTCTCCAAGGAGGAGCCTTCGCAATAAAGAGCTGAGGAGGATGGGGAGAATGCGCAGGGTATGGCGAAAATGAAAAAATAAGCATGGAGGAAGGATAACGAATCACATTATTATAGCGGCGATGTCGGAAAAGGCGGCAAAGAATTATCGCTAAATTGTCGGATTTACCTTCCTGCTATTCCGCCTGCATGCCACATTTCAAGGACCAAGGTGCATGGCGCGAAGCGCCACTGCAGTCTTGTATACTTACACACATATATAAATATATGTTTATTCAGATGTGTCTATATATATATATACAAAGATATATATATATACATATATATGTATGTATGTGTGGCGGAATGCAGTTGCTTTTCTGCTAATGGGCCGATTCTGCCTCGGAGCCACGTGGAGGGCGGGGAAGACCTGCCGGAGGGTCCGCCGGGCCCCCCGCCTGCCAGTCGTTGCCTCACGGAGGGCGCGCGCGTCGGGAACCTGCTGGCCTGGGTCGGTGCACACCCGGGCCACTCGGGCCTTGCAGGATCCTGCCCCAGACATGGTCGCGTCGTAAAACAACAAATCAGGACGGGAGGTTTTTGGCGATTTTCGGCCTACAGTTGGGGCCTTGACCTAAGGAACCCAAAATAAGGAACGAGGCCCCTTTTTTCCATAAGATAAACTTCGATTTCCGATCGAAAACACAAGGAAAACCTGAGGCAAGCTGCGAAACACTTAAGGAACGCGGAGCCCCTCCCCAACGACCAGGGTTCTTTCTTCAGGGCCCCGACTGTAGGGGGGGCCCTCGACAGGTCTCGGGAACGTCAAAAAGCGACTCAGGACGGAAAACCAGCCGCGAGGGAAGGGTCGGGACTTCCGGGCACGCCGCCCTGACAAAGTCAGGACGTCGCATGTCCAGGGCAGGGTCCTGCAAGCTCCTGCCGGATCCTGCACCCAAGCCCAGGTTTAGTGCACCCCTGGCTCTGCAAAAAATCCTGCAACATCTGGCGCCCTGGCTGGGCCCCGGGTGCATTCCGACCAGCAATAACTGGGGGAGCTGTGGTCCTTACCCCCCTGGGGGAACCCATCGCGTCGACGAGCTCTCGAGAGGGGTGTCGAAATCGATGGGTCCTCCAGGGGGGTAAGGACCACAGCTCCCCCAGTTGTGGCTGGCCTGGCATTGACCCCCGTCTCTTGAGCTCCGAGTGCGACGATCGGCTGTGCCCCAGCTACCGGCGCCCCCGTGCCCCCGCCCCTCGAAGTTCCACATCCCGTGTGAGGAAGGGGGGGGAGAGTGAGAGCTCGCCAAGCCCCCTCTCTGGCGGTCTCTCCAAGCCTCCCCAGACTGCTTGCCAGGCTCTCGAGATCTTCAGTCTGGATCCAGATGGGCAACTCCAAAAATCGTGACCCAAAAAAAACTGTCACCTCTTGGTGGCGCATCTTTGGCTTCCGCGAGCCTCCCCCCACCTTCCGCCGAAGCAGAGATGTCAACGCCTTCGATCCTCGCAGGCGATACCCTTCCTGGAGCGCCCAGGATGGCCCCAGGATCTCCCGAGATGGCCCAGATAACCCACGTATGGTGGCCTCCACGCTGGCCCTCCGTGGTGCCCCGAGGGACCCGAATTGACGATCGAACAACACGCACCCATACCCATAGGGGGGACGGAGGAGGCTATGGGTGCGTGTTGTCGGATGGGGGTCCCCGCTCGAACGGG